TGGAATAAATCCATTATCCAAGGTGTGATACCCCTATTCCAAACTTTGGATGGAAAATTGTTGTAGTCATTTCACAGGGATCACAATCCCTGTGCGCTGGAGCTTCCAAAGCTCCTAAATCCCATCTTGTCTGGGCTTCTCCATGTCTCCATTCAGGCACCTCCAGACCCACCTCAGGAGCTAAAAACCTGGAAATGTGGCTGCAGTGGAGAGTCTGGGAATAGATGGATTCAGAAGTGCTGGATAACATTCCTGTTGTGTGAATCCAGCAGTGGCCACAAACCCAATGGAAAGTGAGCAGAGGCGCCACTTTTTATTGTTATTTATTTATTATTCCCCTTGCTGGAGCTGGGAGAAAAAAACTCATTATTTGTTTAGCTTAAGATGCAAATTGGAGAGGCCAAACCAGCAGGTGAAGCCTCTGCTCGGGCATCAGGGTGAAAATAAATTCCATGAATTTTCTCCCTAACAAATCCCGCTATAAAAACCAGGATTTGACCCTCACCATGAGGAACAGCTGTGTGATTCAAAGCAAACAAGCATCTCGCTGTCATTTCTCAGGATAGCTCCAGAACTTTCCTTTTTCTGTTTCCTAATCCTTAAAACATGAATGTACTTAGGCTAAAAAACTTCATTAAACATTAATAGAGAGCCTGATTTAACTCCAGCCCCGTTTGCTTCCCAAAGATAATTGTGGGAGAGAATGAACCGTGCTCCCTTGGCAGCTTTGCTGGAGATTTTTCCAAAACTAATAGTGGAATTATGAAAGGAATAAGGAGGGAAAAAGTAAATTAAATCAAATTGCCAAAGCCTTGGGGAAGAGCTGATGCAAATGAGTTCAACGCAGAGGAGTCACAAACAACTCCAGTTTTTCATCTGGGTAGTCACAATCCTATAAAAACAATGGGAAAAAATGATGGGAAAATGAGGTGTTAACTCTGGTAGGGGCTTTTATCAGCCCTTCCCTTTCCCATTAAAGTTATTACCTGCAAAAGTGGGATTCAGGAATGAGCAGCCCGAGTTAATTTTCTCTTCCTGTCACTGGGGATCATCAGCCCCTGGATAAATGGGAATTGTGGGGTTTAAAGACTTTTTTGACCTTAAAGGCAGGGGAAAGTTTCATTCATTTAAAAGCTGTTTACAAGGCTAAAGTAGCTTGATAAGTAAATAAAGCAGGGGGAGAAGAGAGAAGGGCCTGAATACAAATTCCCGTTAAAATTGTTGAGCTGAGGAGCCACGGAAAGGGAAATCATTCCCTGGGTTTGCAGCGTTCCATGGAAGCAGCAAGAAAAACAAAAGAGGGAACGTTATTCCAAACGAGAGATGAGTTTTGGATGTTCAAACATTCCAGGGATTTATGAGCAAAGGCATAAAATGATGGAAAAATTGTCCATTAGAGGCGTGTTAACACCTCAAACATGGAACTTTCGTGATACTCCTGTTCCAGAATTTCTGTGCTCATCCTCAGGCATTCAGGATCAGTACGTTGGATCAGGAGGGTCCAAATCATTCCCTGCAATCATATCCTGGATTCGAAGCATTCAATGGAAGCAGCAAGGAAAACAAAGGAGGGAACATTATTTCAAACCAGAGATGAGTTTTGGATGTTCAAACATTCCAAGGATTTATGAGCGAGAGAAGAAAATGATGGAAAAATCATCCATTAAAGAGTTTTTAACATCTCAAACATGAAGCTTCAGGAATACTCCTGTCCCAAAATTCTTGTGTTCATCCTCAGGGATTCAGGATCAGGACATTGGATCAGGACGGTTAAAATCATTCCCTGAAATCTTTCCCTAGATTTGGACCATTCAGTGGAAGCAGCAAGAAAAACAAAGGAGGGAACATTATTCCAAACGAGAGATGAGTTTTGGATGTTCAAACATTCCAGGGATTTATGAGCGAGAGAAGAAAATGATGGAAAAATCATCCAATAAAGGTTTTTTAACACTTCAAACACAGAGACTCTGTGATACTCCAGTCCCAAAATTCCTGTGCTCATCCTCAGGGATTCAGGATCAGGAGACTCTTCAGCTGATGCTACTTGAGCATCTTTTTGTTGTTATTTTAGAGATTCTTCTGTGCTTTTCTCAAAGTTTAGGGAGAATTTTCCCAGGATTTTAAGGTGTATTTTGGTGGGGCTGGAAGGGCTGGAGAGGTGATGGATATGGAATTATCCTGGCTGGAATGGGGAAAAAAATAGAGAATTTCCAATTAAAAATCAAATATTTATTTCAGATAAAATTGGCTTTGTTATAAAGATCAAATTATACCAGGAACAGCAGTGGGTGCCTTGTTGTGATCACGATCCATAAAAATATGGAGAGTTCATGGCATCTTGGAATGCTTTAGATTGGAAAAGCCCTCTGAGATGAAATCCAACCATTCCCAGAACTTCCAAGGCCACCACTGATCGTGTCCCCAAGTGCCACCTCCACAGGGCTTTAAATCCCTGCCAGGACAGGGACTCCACTGCCCTTTTCCAATGTTTTCCAGCTTTTCCATGGAGAACTTTCCCCTGGACAACTTACGGAAAAATGCCCTGAAAATAGTAAATATTCGTAAACCTGATTAATAATTCCTTTGATATCCATTATATAGGAGGATCTGGGAATTTTTGGGGAAGCAGAAATCATTTAAGACAGGATGGTCAGAGGAAAACAGGAGATTTGGGAGAGGCAACTCCCACCTCTCCCTAAGAAGGCAGCAGGGATCTGGAATATTTTCTTTCCCAAGGATAATTCCTGTCTTTAAGCCAACACTTCCCTGCAAAGCTGCTGCCTTGGGAAACTTGGAGAAGCAGGAGCATTTTAATGTTTTATGTAAAACACCTCGTAAGGATACAAAACCTCCCTGTGCCACCATGGAATGGGAGAATTTCAGGAATTCTTCCTTCTCAGAGGTTAAAAAATGAGCTGAGTTCTTTAGAGAGCCAGAATTCCCTGGTTTTCATCCCTTTGGGAAGACATTTTCTATGCATGTTCCTGGCTCTGGAGAGCTGAGCACAAACGATTGCTGAGCCAGATTATCCTTATTTTCCAGCCATGGTGAAGTTTTCCAAAGGCAAATGGCAGCGGGAAGTTGGGTCTCTGCACACACACTGGACATTGGTTATATTTTATTTATTTGGTATTTTGCTAGAATCAAAATTCTGGTGGAGTTTGAAGCTGTGAATGTGAATTATTTAAAACCACTTTTATTGGAGTTAGGGCAGAACAGGCTGTTCTGGGTGTGGGGAACTGGGACAGCAAAACCTCCACCAGAATGGAGAAAAGAGATCCAGAGGTGATGATTTTTGGGGAAGCCAGATTTTTGGTGAAGCTCCTGGGATGGAGACTTCATGGAATCATGGAATATTCCAAGTTGGAAGGAGCCCAGCTTCCAGCCCTGCACAGACACCCCAAAAATCCCAGCCTGTGCATCCCTGGTGTCCAAACATTCCCAGAGCAGAATGTCCAAACATTCTGGCAGCCTCAGGAATGTGCCCACATGTGAAGTCACCATTGAGCACAGATCTATTATTCCCCAGATTTTTTTTTAATTATTCCATATTTATTATTCCCAAGATTTATTATTGTGAGTACAGAGTCACCAGCCCAGCTCTGTGCCCGGGGTGTTGCTGCCTGGTGCACTTTATCCAGAGAAAGTTCCAGAATTCCAGGCTGGTTTGGGATGGAAGAGACCTCCCAGGCCACCTCATTCCACCCCTGCCATGGGCTGGGACACCTTCCATAGGTTGCTCCAAGCACTGTCCCAGTTAAGACAAGATTATTGGTTTTATTCAGTGTCATTCCAAGGGATCTCCTAACAAGAACCTGGGTTAGTCTTGTCTCCTAAGCCAGGCCCTAAACACCAACCTGGGTTGGTTGACTTTCCTGGGATGGATCCTAAACCAGAACCTGGGTTTAACATGATTAGTTTTTAGGATGTGCAAAGAAGAACCCAGCTGGCCTTCTGCAGCAGAAGGAGACCAGGTTAGTCCTGTCTCCTAGGACTGGTCCTAAATTAGAGCCTGAGTTAGTCTTGAGTCCTAGGATGGGCCCTACAGAAGAACCTGGGTTGGTCCTGTCTTTAGGACTGGTCCTAACGAAGAACCTGGGTAAGTCCTGTCTCCTATGATGGGTCTCAAACAAGAACTTGGATTAGTCTAGATTCTTATGACAGGTCCTAAACAAGAACCTGGGTTAGTTTAGATGCCTAGGATGGTTCCTAAACTGGGTTAATCCTGTCTCTAGGACACATCCCACACACACGAACCTCAGTTCATCCTGTCCCTAGGCTTGCCTTCCCCTCTCTAACCCCCTGCTGCCCCGGCCGTGTCTCCGCAGACCTAGGAGACGTCCTAAACAAGAACCTGGATCAATCCTGTCTCTAGGACAGTTCCCACACAAGAACTTTGGTTAATCCTATCTCTAAGAGACATCCTGAACAAGATCCTGGATCAATCCTTTCTCTAGGACAAGTCCCGTACAAGAACCTGGGTTAATCCTGTCTCTAGGGCAAGCCCCACACACAAACCTCAGTTAATCCTGTCCCTAGGTCTGGCTTCAAACCTCTAACACCCTGCTGCCCTGGTCTCCACAGACCTAGGAGAGATCCTAAGCAAGAACCTGGATCAATCCTGTCTATAGGACAGGTCCTAAACAAGAACCTTGGTTATCCTGTCTCTAGGAGAGGGCCCACACAAGAACCTTGGTTAATCCTATCTCTAAGAGACATCTTGAATAAGATCCTGGATCAATCCTGTCTCTAGGACGGGCCCCACTCAAGAATCTTGGTTGATCCTGTCCCTAGGAGATGTCCCACACAAGAACCTGGATCAATCCTGTCTCTAGGACAGCTCCTAAGCACAAACCTCAATTAACCCTGTCCCTAGGCCTGCCTTCTCTGGGACAGCTGTCAATCAATCCTGTCTCTAGGACAGCTCCTAAACACAAACTTTGGCTAACCCTGTCCCTAGGCCTGGCTCCCCTCCTCTAACCCGGTCTGTGTCTCCGCAGACCCCCCGGCGGTGGAGCCGGCGTTCCTGGAGCTGCGGCAGGGCCAGGGCCGCGCGGTCACCATGAGCTGCCGCGTGCTGCGCGCGTACCCAACGAGGGTGTTGAGCTACGAGTGGCGCCTGGGCGGGCGCCTGCTGCGCTCGGGACACTTCGACCTGCAGGACTCCACGGAGTTCACCGTCAGCAGCCTCTCCCGCGACTCCTACGGCCTCTACAACTGCAACATCATCAACGAGGCGGGTGCCGGCCGCTGCAGCTTCCTCGTCACAGGTAGGAGGAGTGGAGCTGGGAATGAAGCCGCTTCTTAGTTTGGTTTTTTTAATGGTTTTTGAAGGGGTTTTAGGCAGTTTGTTTGGGTTTTCCCAGGGGGTTGGAGTTTGTCTTCAGAACTGTGGTTGTGGAGTGTTTGAATTGTTTGAGTTGTTTGGGTTTTGTTGGGTGAGGCTTGGTAGAGCTCAAGCAACAAAAGGAAGAGTCTAGATTTTGAGTATCAAATCTGTCACTATATAGGAATCTGGAATCTGTCACTGTAGGAATTCTGAGTTTGGAATCTGTCCCTAGAGGACTCTGGAATCTGTCCCTAGAGGACTCTGGAATCTGTCCCTAGAGGAATCTGGAATCCATCGCTACAGGAGTTTTGAGTTTGGAATCTGTCACTTATAGGAATTTTGAGTTTGGAATCTGTCACTATAGGAATCTGGAATCTGTCACTTATAGGAATTTTGAGTTTGAAATCTGTCCCTATAAGAATCTCGAATCTGTCACTATGGGAGTTTTGAGTTTGGAATCTGAAGGTTCTCTTCAAAACTGTGTTCATGGAGTGTTTGGGTTTTGCTGGGTGAGGCTTGGTAGAGCTCAAGCAACAAAAGGAAGATTCCAAGATTTTGAGTTTGGAATCTGTCACCACAGGAATCTGGAATCTGTCACTTATAGGAATTTTGAGTTGGGAATCTGTCCCTATAGGAATCTGGAATCTGTCACTATAGGACACAAAATAACATGAGCCCACACCCTGCTGTTTTCAAGGTAAAAAAGGGAAGTTTATTTTCTGACTCCAACATTTATAGATTTCTAAAAGTGACAGTGGATTGGAGGGTGACAGTGCCACCTCTCCAATGACACTGGACAAACCAACAGTCCATCAGAATTTTCTTCTTCTATAAAGAATGCAAAACAATAAATAATTTACATAAAGTGTGTGAGAAAGTTCGCTACAAGAACGTAAACATCAGAAGGCTTAGAAAAGCCTAAAAAACCAGGGTGACAGGAATCTCTGGTTTGGGAGTAGCCAGGAGATAAATGGACGTGATGGGGATGACATCCCCTTGGCAGGAATTTCTCACAGCACAAATGTGGTGGGAACACAGCAAATCCCACAGTTCTGGATGGTTCTTCTCCTTCCAAATGGGACCCAACCTTTGGCTGACACCATTCAGAGCCTGCTGGAGGGGTTTTCACAGCCACCAACTTCTCCAAATCTTGGGATTTTAATCCCAAAGGCAGCTCTGAAGGAAACCAGAAAAACTGTTTGGCCTCAAATGAGTAAATTTGGTTCAATCTATTCATCAGGATTTGGATCCCAGACTGTGGAAATCTATTCCAAGGCAATCATTTTGCTAGGATTGGGGCAACTGGAGTGATTTTAGCAAACCACAAAACTGAAAATGAGTCCTAAAATGATTTTATGATGTTTTCCATTTCCCACCTCTGCCTGTGCTCATTTAGGGTTCATCCCATCCTGGTAATTTATGGTGGATTAAGGATGCTGGAAGTAACACTTTGGCTTTTCTTAGCCTTTTAAAGTTAAAGCTGAGTATATTTAGCAAATAAATTCTTTTCCACTGCTCTCAGAGCAGTGGCTCTGTTGTGCTCCTGAATCTCAGCAGCACAGATGGAGTCAAAGTCCCAGGGAACTGAAAACGCTGAAAAAAATGATGAAATGGTTAAAAAGGAGGCTTGGATTTCACTGGGAATGTGAATAGAGACAAGAAATTGGGCACTTCTTAGGCATAATTGGAAAAAAAAAGCCCAATAAATAACTGCAAGGCAGGAATGTGGCAGTTGTGTGGAGCTTTTGTTTTGGGGGGGAATAATGGGTTGTTGTAACCCATTTTTAGCTGGTTTATTTCTGGTTTTTCATGCAAGAAAATAGTAATGTGCTGGACTGGGGCTGCAGAAAACCATTGGTATGCTCAGAGAAAGCTTTTCAGTACAGCATTTCATGCAGCCTGCTTTAAAGATTTATTCTGACCCCTGAGCCTGCAGAATCTCCTTTTTTTTTTTTTTTTTTTTTTTTTCTCCTGTATATTTTGAGCCAGATTGGAGGAGATGAAAGCCAAATAAATCACACATGGAAAAGGGGTTAATTTATAGCATCTGGGCCTACACAAGGCAGATGTAACCTGCCAGTCTCTTCAAAATAAATAAGAAGTGACAAGGCAAATTGTGTTTGTGGGGAAGCAGAGCTGAGTTCATGCTCCTCACAGCTTCACCACCTCGAGATTTTATTCAGGGCCAGATCATATCCAGAGAGCAACAAGAAGTCCATTCCAGGCTGGGGCTTAGGAAATCCCTGCCAGGGCTGGGAGCAAATAAATCAAACAGATCCGTGAATGGCAGAGGAGCCTCCCTGAGGGAGGATTTGGTGCTGGAGAAGGAGGGGGATGAGCACAGGGAGCTTCTCCCTCCCTGGAGCAGCTGCTGAGGTGGCAGAGGTTCCTCCAGGACACACCTGAGCCCTGCTGGGTCACGGCCTGGCCTGGCCTGACCAGCTGGGGACACCCCAGGAGCAGCTTTGTCACTGTGGCGTGGCTTCTCAAGGCAGGGGGGGGGCTGGTCTCTGTGTTTTGCAGGTTCCCAGTTTGCAAAGGAGGGATGAAGAATTCTTCTTCTTCTTCTTCTTCTTCTTCTTCTCCTTCTCCTTCTCCTTCTCCTTCTCCTTCTCCTTCTCCTTCTTCTCCTTCCTCCTCTTCTTGTTGTTGTTCTTCTTGTTCTTCTTCTTCCTCTCCTTCCTCCTCTCCTTCCCCTTCTTCCTCTTCTTTTTCTCCTCCTCTTCTTCCTCTTCTTTTTCTCCTCCTCCTCCTTATCCTTCTCCTCCTCCCTTCTATCTTCTTCCTCATCTTCCTCTTTTTCCTCTTCCTCCTACTCCTCCTGCTTTTCCTCCTCCTCCTCTTCCTTCTTCTCGTTCCATTTCATCTTCCTCATTGTTATTTTTCTGCATCATTCCAAGTGTCAGGACAAGAGGGAAAAGGCTCAGGTTGCCCCAGGGAAGGTTAAGGTTGGATATCAGGGGAAATTCCTCCAGCAAAGGGCTGTCAGACGCTGCCAGGGGCAGCAGTGGAGTCACAATCCCTGGAATTGTCCCGAACCCATGGATGAGGCTCTGGAGGCCATGGGATGGTGGTGACTGTAGGGGAGAGGATTGACAGCCACACTTGATGGTCCTAAAGGTCTTTTCCGACCTGAACAATTCCATGATTCTCTGTGCCCCCAGGAAGCCATTTAGGATTAGGATTACCTAGAACTGATTTTACCTGACAACTCCTGGTTTAAAATTTCTCCTCAGTTTGGGAAGTTTGACCCCTTTGAGCTGGAATTTTCTCTGCTGGGGCTGAATTTGTCCCCAGAGTTGCGTCCAAAGAGGGATTTTTCAATTTTTTTAGACAATATTTTTTTTCCCTCTCCATGAAATTCTTTAATCAGGGCTGGATACACATCCATGGGGGATTCCTTCCTGAATTTCCACCAGGAATCTCTGTCCATAGTGGATGGGGCTGGCTTGGCAGGGCTGCAGATTTAATATTAAAATTCAAAATTTCAATTATTCATCACCACCCTGGGTACGACTAAACAAAGCTCTAATGTCATTCCATGGACTTAATTCCTTTTATCAACCAACTCCTGATCCCACCAGCGAGGGAAGACACTTTGGAATATTAATTCTGTGTTGTTCTGGCCTGCGGAATATTTTTGCCGTGGGATATTGCGTTAATTAACGAGCTCATCTTTAATTATTTACTCTGTCTTACATCACCCCGTCAGTGCTTCCAGCCAAGTGCAACATCAAGCCAATCAAGGGCTAATTGGGGAGGGTTTAATTGTTAGCTCGTGATTAGAGCTTTCCCTTTCCTTGAAGCTCTTGGAAACTTTGGGGCTGGTGATGCTGAAACCTGACAATCCAAACATTCCTTCCCTGCCAACACCTCCAGAAGGGAATATCCCCATCCATGGCAGGAATAATTCAGGTTGGAAAAGACCTTGGAGATGATCCAGTCCAATCTTCCACCACTAATCCATGGGACACCCAGGTACCTCACATCTCCTGCCTTCCCTTATCCCAGAAAAATGGGATTTGAGGAGATGGACAGTGGATCATCCCTTCTGATGATCCCAGAATCCACCTCTGGAAAGAGCTCTTTGGAAACTCATTTTTTCTTTAATAAAAATCATCTTTTGGGCCTTTCCAGGAGAAGAACACATAGAAATACTTTGTTTTTTTTCCAGGTTTTCCCTGATTTTTTGACATTTTAAGTGGCAAAATGGAGCACAGCAAACCCTGGATTGGGTTTGCCCCCATCCTGTTTCATATGGATGGGGCAAGGATGGACCTTGGAAAGGATGAACAGGTCCAAGGATGGACTTGTTCCATAAAAGATCTTGGAATTATGGAATGGTTTGGTTTGGAAAAGGCCATGGGAAGGGACATTCTTAATGAAATCTTGTTGCTCCAAGCCCCATTCAAGCTGACCTTGGACAATTCCAGGGATGGAATATCCACCCCACCCCTTGACAAACCCTCTCCATGGATTTAAGTCAACTTGAACTCGGATTTAGAGGATTTGGGAAAGTTTTGTCCTCTCTTTGGGAAACCATCCTCAGTTTTTTCCACATTTATGATGGATGAATGCTTGGATGTGATCCTCCCATTTTTCCCAATTCCCTGGGAGATTCCCTTTTCAAGATCAGGCACCTCTCCAGGTGCTTCGTTCAGGAATTTCTCAGTGTTTGTTCTGTGCTCCTGCCACCATCCCTGGTAGCACTGTGGTCCTCAGAAATTATTTGGAATCATTTCCAAATTCCCACTGGTACAGGATTCCCAGAGAAGCTGTGGCTGCCACTTGTGTGAGCTTTAAAATTCCAACTGGAGCAGCAGCAAAAATCCTTTTCCATTCATCTGCCAGGAAAAGGGTTTTTTTATTTTAATTAAAAACCTTGTGTATTCCAACAGAGCCTCTCCTAAAAATGGCCAAAAATTCCTGGAGGACAGGGAA